ACAAAACAAAACCACACAGTATTGTCTGTTCAAAGTTAAGAGTCCACAGCTCCAATTTTACTGACTGTAACTAAAACAACGTGATCATTGATAGATAGATCTTTATTTGCCATTTGTGCATATACTAGAAGTTTATACACATTGGAATTCTTGTGTGGGCATCTCTCCTAGTTACAGTATAGATGACAGAACAGTAATGATAGAAAAAACATTATAAGGTCTAAGAAAACAGTATAAGCACAATAAAAAAGTAAAAAAAGGAAATATAAATAGATGGTGTGGCACAATAGCAGCACAACAGTACAATCAGTGTGTCAAATGTAGGACCTGTATGCAGCTTAGCAGCATTTCATATTTCTTAGGGATGAATGAATAAATTCATTGCACTTAATCTTCACTAAAACAAGTGTGTAAATAGATTAAACATCACTCTACAAACAAGAGCAAAAATAAATASTAAGAATCAGTCAGTTAATTATTAATACCTTCTACAGTCTGAGCATCATGTGGAGATTAGCCTTTCTCTCCTGCAGGGAGCAGTTTTTATCACTGTTCTCGTCATGTCGCTCATATTCCAAAACAAAATCTGCGCTCTTCCTTTCTTCTGTCCATCAAGAGATAATCCACGGGCAACATTCTGCYGATGTCAAAACCGTAAAAAGCGTGCTGTCCTCGCTTCTGCCCGCTAGAACCACCGGAGTGAGAGGAGGTTCTGCTCGGGTGGAATGGAGACACTTTTGGACCGAGGCTGAACTGAGCCGAACCGCAAAGCTGCTGCCAGGGTGGAGGGTGCCATTAACGGGAGTCAAATAGTCTCATATTTGTAAATGTATAGCTATTGTGTAAATGCAAGTTTGTGTCAAACAAGTAGCTCTTTGTGTTTCTCTGTACCCCTGAAGTTGCACTCACTCTCAAAAAGGTTGGCGACTCCTGTCCTACAGTTTCCACAATTCGTGTTTTTTGGTTTTAGATTATAACATATTTCATGCTACAACCTTGTTGTTCTGTGCTACAAACTAGCAGCCTCAGTAGTACCAGTGCTATGAGCTAAAACCGTTAACGTACAGCCCAGAATATATTGAAACGTAAATATTGTAAATAAATCTTCTTTTTTTAAATCTAATATTAACTGAGTAAATTACTGATCAGGTAACTTAGGCTAAGTCAACATTTTCTCCTCTAAAAATACCATCAGCTGTTTTTAGTGAACAGTTTGTTCTCTGTGTTCTGTATGAGTGAGTTGGTTAACAGATCTGTACTGTGTGTTTTTCGAACTTTTAACCATTTTGAACAGTGCGGTTCCGAACCACATCAGGTTTGTTCTCAGCAGTGGACCCGGTGCAGATGAAGAACGTGAACTTTGAGCACGTGAAGGGAGTTGAAGAAGCTAAGAACGAGCTGCAGGAAGTGGTGGAGTTCCTGAAGAACCCACAGAAATTCACAGCCTTGGGAGGAAAGCTGCCAAAAGGTGGGCCGATCCTCTCCATGTGGCGGTTCTACTCACAGTGATGTTTTCTTCCTTTTCTCATCACCAACTCACTTTTCTGCTCAGGTGTTCTGCTTGTTGGTCCTCCCGGGACTGGAAAAACCCTTCTGGCTAGAGCGGTGGCTGGAGAGGCAGATGTGCCGTTTTACTTCGCCTCTGGGTCGGAGTTTGATGAGATGTTTGTTGGAGTTGGAGCCAGTCGTATTCGTAACCTTTTCAGTGGGTTTTCTTTTTTCTTCCTTAGACTATGCTGCATGGTAGTATCAATGGGCCTCATGCAAGAACATTTTGGTATTTTTTATCCTAAATTTCTCTTACTTTTGTAAGAGAAATTTAACATTTAACTTTTGTAACATGTCAGATTCAGCACACTCTTCTATCTTCAGGAAAAGTGTGCAAATGAGCAGCATAAACATGATGAATGCCACTTGTTCGTATTCAGGTCTCCAAAATATGTCTGGCGTTGTAGAGAGTAGCATCGCTGATGTGCTGAATAAATCTCAACAAAATAAAATTTGATTAAAAAAATAAAAATCTAAAAAGCTAATTATATACCAAGACAAAGTTCAATTAAAGCATAATTTAAGTTGGTTTGTAGTTTGAGATCTTCATATTAATATTGTAGTGTTATACAACAGCATTAATAGCCAATTTAATTTAATTTAAACAATTTGTGTTGTTAATCTACATTATAACATTTAGAATAATAACTCCAATTCAAACAGAATAGCCTATTATCAACATCAGAATCAGTTTTATTGCCATTGTCAGTGGTAAACACAGACTAGGAACTTGCAGTTAAGAACACTTATTCTTATTACACACACATAAACATTGGGGAGAACGGATGTTCATGTCTTTTGCAACATGGCTGTGCTACCTTTTGCAGCTTGGAATACACACAATAGGAAAGATGAGCCAAAAAAAAGATGCTCTGATCCTATGTTTACAGAAATACAGGATCATACGTTCAAAAAATCCCTCGCACATTGCAAGGCATCTGGTGGGGTGGGGGATCAAACACATGGTACGGGGTGGGATGCAGCGGAGCTGGTGATGTTTCAGGTTAATAATCCGTGCTGGAACCAATCAAAGACCCCCAGAGTCCAAAACCAGTTCTTATCAACCCAAGTTCAGCCTATTAGAGTTCAGTTCTCTGTCACCACCACCATGGCCTTCAGACTGGTCCACCCACGGATGATACGGGGGAGGGAATGGGGAATCAAGCCTTCGTTCTCATGTCATCCAGGGAGTTTTGATAACTGCCGAGTGCTAAGGTCAGCAGCTGCAGGGGTCCAAAAGATAAACAAAATTGTTTTGGGACAAGCAGCCTTGATTTTTTTGCTGCTTTACAGTCTTAACTGCATCTCTGGGATGGTGAAAAAAATGCTGAATGTTCCGAATTCCATCACCTCCTCGCCTCTCTTTCCATCTGAAACTTCACCCAGGTGTAATCCTACATCTCATGGGCATGCTGCTGAACTGTGATTCTCGTCAGAATCACGTCCAGTTTGCGACTTATATCCCCCAACATTTGAGTCTGTGCGTTTCCAGTGCGGGAGACTCCATCCAAGGTTCCTGACAGCTTCTCACAGGCCATGACTGCTGTGAGGATCGCTTTCATTTTCCGATAAGCCAGGACTCCTCCACAGCCGATCAGCAGGAATCCAGTCATCATAAATCCAAAAATGTACAAATCTTCCACGTCTCCAATGGAAAGCGGCGCCAAACAGATGAGGTTCCAGCCCCAGGAACCAGTGACCCGACCAGCCACCACCATTCCACTGGGACAGCTGCGCTCCCCTCGCTCCAATCTCAGTGTGGAAAAAATAGTGTTGATTGCGGTCAGAAACCAGTTGATAAAATCCATAATTCCTTTTGGCATAATTATGGAGTGATTTATTTTCAACTCAAAATATCTTCAAACTAATGAAATAAAAAGTTATTCGTGAAGATAATCTGCCTGGATAACAGCAGACTGACTGCTCATAAAATATACGACAGGCCAGGACCACACGTGGATTTTGTTCGTATCTGAAGAAAATCAGAAAACGAGAAAATTGGTGAATGCCACAAATTCTCCTAAATCACTCGTACGCACAACTTAAGAACAAATCTGTTTGTACGAACAGTTTTTGCATGAGGCCCATTGTGACTGCTGGAAAAACAATTTGACTTCTTCTTTTCTAGGAGAGGCAAAAGCCAATGCTCCCTGTGTGATCTTCATTGATGAACTGGACAGTGTGGGTGGGAAAAGAATAGAGTCTCCGATGCACCCTTACTCAAGACAGACCATCAACCAGCTTCTTGCTGAGATGGATGGGTAATATCACAAATTATCTGTATTCACCTGTTAGGTCAGTCTATCTTGTTTTACAGATTTTTAGATAATAGTAATGTTAATTGTTGCCTTATGAGATGTTGTGATGTGAAATCTACCAAATGACCTGAATGAATCCATCTTGTTCTGATCTTCAGACAAAATATTTTTGGGCCAAAACAAACGTTCTACAGCTAAGGCTAAGGACGGGTCGGTATGAGACTGGCAACAGCATAAGTACCCTGAAAAAAATATTTATTTCACAGAGTTAATATAATAAAGAAAGAATACATATCCTACTCAGACTTGATGCCAAAGGTTTAAACATAGATCATCTGTTTATATTGAAAAACTAGATTTACGGTTGTTTATGACAAATCTTGAAAATAGGATCATGCACAATCTCACATGCCTTATAAAAATCTTGTACAATCCGTTTCTTTTTCTTCTTCTTTTCTTCTTCTTAATATTATTATTATTATTATTATTATTATTATTATTATTATTATTGTGAAAATTTTGCTTTTGAAAACAAGAGGGCACAGTGGATATATGCAGACTCTGATCACCATGAATGTTGTTATTTTGTAGGTTTAAAAGCAATGAGGGTGTGATCATCATTGGAGCGACCAACTTCCCTGAGGCTTTGGATAAGTATGTCCATTAATTTTTTCATAATTACAAACAGCACTAGGTTTACATTGCTCATTAAAAATGTTGAAATATCTGACCTCTAGGGTCACCTCTATTACGCTATACAAAGAATAAAGCTGTATTTGAGGTTCTCACATTTTCATTTACTTTATTTTGTTTGAGTTTTTTTAACTGATCTTCTTTTGTTAGTGCCCTGATCCGCCCGGGGCGTTTCGACATGCAGGTGACTGTACCCAAACCGGATGTGAAAGGACGAACAGAGATTCTCAACTGGTACCTGCAGAAGATTAAAGTAGATCCAGGTTCGACTGTAGCGTTTGTTAGTCTTGTGTTTATGCTTAAAGCATGTACAGTATATCAAATGTAACTGTATGCTCTGAGTACACCCAGGTATTTTCTAACAGTTCTCTCTAACTATTCTGTTTTATCTGTGCAGCCATTGAGGCAAAGGTTATAGCTCGGGGTACAGTTGGATTTTCCGGTGCTGATCTGGAAAATTTAGTCAACCAGGCTGCCCTGAAGGCAGCGGTCGATGGCAAAAACATGGTCACTATGAAGGAGCTGGAGTTTGCTAAAGATAAAATCCTCATGGGTCTGTACAACTTTAATGGGCTCGCTCTGGCTCTACGGCTCAAACTATAACGTAATAGTTTTTTCTTTTTTATCTTTGTTGTTTTGAAGGTCCTGAGAGACGGAGTGCAGAGATAGACAAAAAGAACAAACAGATTACAGCGTATCATGAATCGGGTCACGCGATTGTTGCTTACTACACCAAAGATGCCATGCCTATCAACAAGGCTACCATCATGCCCAGAGGCCCCAGTCTGGGACATGTAGGAGACCCTCAGTCTGCTCTGCATTCTACAACAATAACCTGCTTCAGGGGAAGCCTCAACATGTACATCTACTTCCTTCTAGGTGTCCTTGCTCCCAGAGAATGACAGGTGGAGTGAGACCCGGTCTCAGCTTCTGGCCCAGATGGATGTGAATATGGGCGGCCGTGTAGCAGAGGAGATTATATTCGGCCATGAAAACATCACAACAGGTAAGAGAGGAGCCTCTTAAAGGCCAGCGAAACGTGGAGCAGTGTTATGCTTTTAAAAAGAAAGCACTGTCTTTGCTTTCTCCAGGAGCATCAAGTGACTTTGATGGTGCCACCAGGATCGCTAAGTTGATGGTGACCAGATATGGAATGTGTGAAAAGGTAGGCTGAAAAATGACTAATTAAATTATAAAACCTTTTACATTTATTCTTGTTTTGTTCCCCATCTCAGCTGGGTGTAATGACCTACTCTGACCTGAATGAGCAAAGTCCAGAGACCCAAGCTGCAGTGGAGCATGAAGTCAGGGTCTTACTAAAGGTCCGTCCCATCTGTTGAACATCAACAAACTTAAACCTTGGAACCATTTCAGTGATGCCTTTTCTCTTGCTGTCAGGAGTCGTACGAGCGAGCCAAAGCCCTGCTGAAGTCCCACGCCAAGGAGCACAAAGACCTGGCCGACGCTCTGCTCATGTACGAGACTCTGGATGCCAAAGAGATCCAGCAGGTCCTGGAGGGCAAAACCCTGGAGAGCAGATGAAGTCCGCAGGGACGGTTGGGTGGGGTGGGGAGTCAAATTTGCTTTCACAGCGTCTGACGTCACGCTGTCTTTTTAATCTTAGCAGTGTCTCCATCCTTACTGAGTGAGGATAAATATGTTTCACAGATTTAAGTTCAGCATGTTCCTTAGGTCACTTTATTGGTTGGTGGCAGAAAATGAATGTGAATCCAAAAACTAAAACAAAACAGCATCATTGGACACATTTATTTATTGTGAAAGATCTCACCGGGAGATGAAATTTGAGCTGTCATTAAACACTCATGATGTCTTTCAGTTATCTGTGTGTCCATATCTGTTTATTAACTATATTTACCACTTCAAGAAAGAAGTGTCACTTTAGCTTTTTGATTTAAGATACTGTCCACATCCATATTCGATTTAATTTAAAAGTAGCCTTTTGGGAGATGTTAAATATTCTTTTACAGCGACAGTGTTTTAAGTTTGGATGTTTCAACACTGATTTAGTCTGCAAACAAATATATAATTGAACTTTCTGCATTATAAATTTAAATGAACGAAAAGTGAAAACGCTAATATAAATGAACAGGATTTAAAATGGGTGTCCCTGCAATATATTAGCCTTCATTTATTTGTGTTCAAACAAGACAGTTTAAAGAGGATCTGCTGCTGCATACACATCTGCTTTTAAAACAAAGTTTGCACAATTCGAAGTATAAAAGATGGCCACTGTTACTCAATCCAGCAATGAAAATGTGCTGTTTAAAGAAATGTGAGCTAACATCTGTGATTCTCAACAGTTGTGTATACATTTTCATTAATGCATAATGACAAATGTTTGTGTATGCTCCAATATTGAGACAGCAGCATCTTTTTCTCTTTTCTTTCTTTTCTTTTTGTCATCATTACACAGTGTTGTCTCTGTTTATGGCCTGTTAAGTCTAGTTTAGCATGTATATAAGACTGGGTGGTGGGAACATTTGTATATAAATGTATAGTAATGCTTTTATGCTGCACCCACTCTGCTGTAAATTTCTTCAACCGTGTGATGAATTTGCGAAGCTGAAATAAAGTCAAAAGTACAAACTTAAGATGCGTATGCGTTAATAAGGATGTTAAAATTAATTTTAAAAAAATTAAAAACTCGTTTTCTACATGCCAAAAATAAAGTCGCCGCCAAATAAAAAAAATCACTAATATTTGGTTGGACCACCTTTAGCTTTGATTACGTCACACATTCTCTGTGGTATTTGGATAAGCTTTTGCAAAGTCACAAGATTTATTTCCATCCAGCGTTGCATTAATTTTTCACCAAGATCTTGATGATGGTAGAGTCTGAATGCTGCACAAAGCCTTCTCCAGCACATCCCAAAGATTCTCATTGGACTCTGTGGAGCCAATCCATGTGTGAAAATGAATCTCTTGCTCCCTGAACCACTCTTTCACAGTAAGAGCCCCATGGATCCAGGCATTGTCATCTTGGAATATGCTCGTGCCATCAGGGAAGAAACAATCCATTGATAGAAGAACCTGGTCATTCAGTATGTTCAGATCAGATGACCTCATTCTTTGAGCACAAACTGTTGCTTTACCTAGACCTGACCACCTGCAGCAACCCCACATCATAGACCAGGGGTGTCAAACTCCAGTCCTCGAGGGCCGCTATCCTGCATGTTTTAGAGGTTTTCCAGCTCCAACACACCTGATTCAGTGATTGAATTAACTCTTCAAATTGGGCAGAAGCCTGTTAATCACCCAGCGATCAAAATCAGGTGTGTTGGAGCAAGAAAACCTCTAAAACATGCAGGATAGCGGCCCTCGAGGACAGGAGTTTGACACCCCTGTCATAGACCTTAAAGCCAGGTGGACACTGGACACTTTGTATTGGCTGGACAGTGTAAAGGACAGAAGGCTGTTGTCCCAGCAATGACATCCCACCAAATGTCCATTATACTGCACCAAACACCAAACCCACTCAGGATCACCAGAGCTGTGGAAAGAACCACTCATACTTTTGTACTTCCTTACATTCTACAACCTTAAATTAAAAAAGAAACAATTTGAAAACAAATGTATATATTATGGACTGCACAAGTTTACCTAGTGTTTAAC